CTGCTTGATGCCCCTCATGGTGTTGCAACACTTCAACGTCATGTGTGCAGTGGCCCAACTGCCCCAGGAGAATCCTCAATCACGGGTATGATGACACCTCGACGCGGACGTGTATCTAACCACTAATCACTAATAAGATAGAAAAAGACAGAAAGAGAAGAGAGAGGGGAGGTAGGAGTGGGAGAGCGAAAGAGTGATTTTCCGGCTTTGGGTTTGCATCATGGGTGTTATATATCCATATATGTATATATAGCCTTGAGAAAAAGCGAGGAACATGCACACTTCAGATAACGCTGTAGTTTACTTGAGGAACAAGCGGTGGGTGACTCACGAATGCGCCTTTACAACGTGGTTTTTGGTAGGTTCGCTTCTCCCAGGGGTCACTTCTCTTTTTATATTTCTTCATTTCTTTTTTGTTCTTTTCCTGTTGTTGTTGTTGTTGTTGTTTTGGTTCTTCGCCTCTTTTATCCATGCGGTCGTCGCTTCCTCACCTCTACAATGCTGCAAGCTCTCCTGTTCACGCACATTGCACAATCGCGCCTACTCACAGACGCGTGCGAACTACGCCCCCTTTGTGCGTATGTTTCGCTCTCTTCACGCGAGAATGAGTGAGTGAGTGCGGCGGAAGTAGTGAAGTGGGCGGGTGACCGAAATTCGCGCATCACAACAACACGCCACAACCCAAACTAAAACGAAAAAGGGGTGCGGTGTCGTGTCGTGCGTCGCCTCATCACGCGCACCAATGCCACATGCACACACATACACACACAAATGTATATATGTCTATATATATATATATATACAATGCGCTTTGCTTCTTCATTTCCTTTCTTTGCGAATTGGATGGAAGGTGGCCTCTTGGGTGTGGGGTGTGTGTGTGCGTTTGTGTGTGCAGGAGCGACAGAGCGAGACGCAAGGAACAAGGCGAAGAAGAGGAGCTGCGAGGGTGGCGGTGTGCTAGCTGCGCATACGTACATAATCACACGAAACAAGGATGTTTCAGTGGTGTGGTATTTGGCTCAAGGCGGGCAGTCGCAGCGGCACCCCGAACATGGGCAAACTGCTGTACGGCAGGCGGAAGAACGCCCTTCACACGACAAGCAAGGCGAAGCCTTCTGTGGTGGGGATGCTGCTGCAGGTGCCGATGGCAGAGCTGCGCCAGGCAGCACGCCGCGCAGCCGGGATGCGGGAGCTCAACAAGGACACTCTCGCCGAGTTGCTAAAAAAGTGTCGCGCCGTCAACCGACTCGACCGCGCAGAGGTCGTCGTTGAGGTGGCCGACGAGATGCGTATGGCGTTGACGTCGTCACACTACTGCACACTAATGGCGCACGCGAATGACAACAAGGACTGGCAGACTGCTCTGCGCTACTGGGATCGTGCGTGCCGTGAAAAGAAGACAAATGAGAAACTACATGGTGCCTTGTTAGCCTCGTATCGCGCGGCAGGTCGTTGGAAGGATGCCGTGCAGCACTATAACGCAATGATTGAAGACAAGATGGTCCTTGAGCCCTACGCGCTTCACACTGTCATGAATACTTGTCGAAAGGCAGATGCCCACAACGTGGCGCTCTCTACATTCTCCAAGGCAGTTAGCGCGGGGGCCACACCCAACAGCACGGTGTATCTGGAACTCCTGCGATGCCTGCAGCAAGCGCGTGTGCCCAACCGGTGGAAAATGAGCTTGAGTATTCTCAACTCACTCGAGGGGAAAGTAGATATGACAGCTGGACTGTATAACGCCACCATGTCAACGTTGGGCGGTGCAGTCTGGGAAAAGGGCGTGGAGTTGTTTAACACAATGAAGGCGAAGAACGTCCAGCCGAGCAAGGAGACCCTCGCTACATTGGTGGCACTGAACCCGAATAATCTGTCACACACTGTGCAATGCATTGCAGAGGCGCACTCGCTCGGAATGCCTGTGACGGACGGCATGTACCGCGCAGTTCTCGCCAATCTCCTGCGTCTGCAGCTTGACCACGAGGCCGTGCGGTTCGCTGAGAGCGAGTACAGTCGCTGCACCGCCGATCCCGGAAACCCTGTAAACTCGTCCCTTGCGCTGAGTCTCGCCATCATCGACTCTCTCTTAGCGCACAGTCGTCCGCAGGAGGCTGTGTTGTTTTCCACCATCTTCGAGTCGAGGCTTGGAAATGTCGTGGGGGCCGCAACGCGCGGGCTTGGCAGCATCGGCCTCCAGACGCAACGTTGGATTGTTCAGGGCCGTGTTGCGGTTGTGGATCACAACGTCCTGCTTGACCCCCAGTTCGAGTCACTTCTTTCCCATTACGACTCGATGCTGGTGCCCTTCTCATCGGTCCGGCTGCTCGTGCGTCGGGTGCGGGAGGTGGCTGGCACGGCGAAGGGCCGCCACACCAAGAAGATGCTAAAGCGGCTCCAGGAGTTGGCGACAACTCCTGCACCTCTGCGCGTCTTGTCTCTCGCTCACCAACTCAACGCACACACGTATATTGTGGACGGGCCCATCACAAAAAAATCCGTTGAGTTGCTGCGGAAGGCCGTTCGAGAGGAGGAGAGCGAGAAAGAGCAATTGAAGGACAAGGACGCGCCGCTTCTGATTCGCAGGAGCGACGGTCTTCCCTCCGCCCTCGAGCGCTTCGATGATTCCCTTAGCATTTGTGAAAGGAAGGAAGTGGAGGCGATGGCTGCAACTACTATTGTGAAGGGTGACGAGTCCTCTGTTAACAGCAATAGCAGAGCGGCGTTGAAGAACCCAGAACGTCTGACGGCTCCCGAGCGAGTGCTTGCCGTAGCGGTGATGCTGAAGTCACTGAATCCTGACGCCAGTGTGCATGTTGTGTCACCAAATCCGGTGCAGTTGCAGGTGGTGACGAAGTGGAACGAGCGGTGTCCCGCCACGACCTTGACGGCGGTACGATACCCCGATGAGGTCTCCATCAAGGCCCCAGCGGAGGAGCAGCAGCAGCATCTTATAACAGACGCCGGTGATGAAGAGACGTTGGTGAAGGGAGAGAGGCAGCATAATCGAGATCTGCGCCCTGAAACGAGAAAACTATTCGTTCCGTCGTGATCGGGGTGTTGCATGAGGTGTCACTCTCTTTTGTGTTGGATACAAGAGGGAGTCGGGGTTTATTCACATGGTGTCTGTTGAAGCCTAAGGGAAGAACAAAGGAACAAAAAAAGTGACGCGAGCAAGATGCACCCTCATGTATGCGTTCTGGTAGTTGAGCATTGCTCTTCACTCCTTCATTCTCTTCCATGTACCCAATGAAATAGATGCGCGAAGCGGGAGCTCATGGACCATACGGGTGAGACGGCAGTGCAGGATTATCCAAGCTCCTTCACTGAAGAGTTTGTGCGCTACTGCCGCGCCCACCACCTCCCTCCGCAGCTCTTTCACGAGCTCGGCGACCTGCTGCAAGGAATGCCGCGGTATGTCCGCCTGCGGCCACAGCACGCCCTACTGCGTGAACACGCTGCGGAGGTTGACGAAAAAGTGGATGAAAGTCGAATCAAGGCCACGCTCGCTACTTCCTTTGGTACTAGTGTGACGAGCGTGCAGGCGGTGGAGTGGCTGCCGCACCCGTACTACTACGCTATCCCTCGCGGTGTCGCGGTGAACCGTGCTACCGTGTATCAAAGCGGTGCTGTGTCGGCGATGGACGCTGCCTCTGTGGCAGCTGTGGTGGCGCTACGGCCATGCAAAGGCGAGCTGGTGTGGGATGTCTGTTGTTCCCCAGGGATGAAACTGAGCCTCATGGCAGACGCCATTGGAGACAGTGGGGTGGCTGTAGGCACGGACATCAGTTTGGACCGCCTGTTTACTACACGATCCGTCTTAAAGAAGCATCGAACAGGGAATGTCTGCCTGTTCGCCACCGATGGAACTTCCTTCTCGCTGCGACGGGCCGCATCGGCACTTGACAGTGGGGCGTTGCCCCTGAAGAACGCAGGCAATGGATTGACGGTGTGGGAGGAGCGTCAGTTGAAGAGGTCTCGAAAGAGACGGCGCCCAAGCGTGGCAGATACAGAGGGTGCTACGACTACTACTACTACTGCTGAAATAGATGAATGCAATGAACTGAAGAATGTGACGGTGGTCTTTGCACCTGAAAACGCACGACAGCGCATTGGCAAGAGAGGAGAAATCAATGACGAAGTCCTTGAATTTGATCGCGTTCTCGTTGATGCTGAATGTTCACATGATGGGTCGCTGGCGCACATGTACCTTAGTGACGCGACGAGGAAGCCATTCGCCACCGACGGCGCGATGCCGGCGGTGATCTCAGGAATCGACAATGCCCATCGCATGCAGCGGTTGCATTTGGCTCCTCAGAAGAGCAATCAACAGCTGCAAAGCGAAAAGGATCTATCACCTCTGCTGCTGCTCCAATTAAGTCTCCTTCAAAACGGATATGAGCAGCTGAAACCAGGCGGCACACTGGTGTACTGCACGTGCTCATTTACGTATCAACAGAACGAATTTATTGTGGGAGAAATAATACGTCGCGTTAACTCCAGCGTTGAAATCCAGCAGAAGTACCGAGGAGAAGCTGTGTTGTGTCACCCCTTCACATATCTCCACGAAAAGGCGTCTCAGGAGTCGGTGTCGCCGATCGTGCAACTGACGGAAGCCCAAGTGGCATCCCTGCAAGAACGTCTAGAAAAAGTTGGGGATCCGTACGGCATTGTGTCCGCCACGCAGAGCGAAAACTATCTCGGCAGCACCTTCACGGGTGTGCGCTTCTGGCCCCACGCCTTTGCAACTAGTTTCCAGTTCATATCTAAGATATGGAAGAAACCGTTGCAGACCTCAGACGTCGTTTAAAAAATGCAAGAGCGTGTTTACGTTGCCTATAGTTTTTTCCATGGAAACTGTGTTTGTTGTCTGTTTCCCTCGCTCCCCTACAGTGTTTGTCTTTCTGTTTTTCTTTTTTGGAGGGGCGGGGGTTTGCGATGTGTCAGATGTGTGCAGTTTATTCTTTTCATCTTTCTGTTTGTGCGCCTCGTACACAACGTAGGTGTGGCAGATAATCCTCATGTGCCAGGGAGTGCGAGCCGCGTCGAGGGTCTGCATGCGGCCGCAGACCGCGCTGCTGCAACCACGCCCCGCCGCGCCGCTCGCCACGTCTAGCCAGAACCTCCACATCCAGAGTCTTTCATCGCTTATGGCGCACCATCAGCGCCAATTCCGGCGTTTGGCGTCACTGGTGAATGGGGCAGCCACTGGCGACACGGCGACTCTCGTTGCGTGTTCTGTTGTCGCTCACCAACACGCTCTTAGGACGGCAGAAGCGAAGGCAGCGGTTCCGGTATTCTGTGCAACGGGCGTGAATCACGCCCTGCACCGCCGCTTTAACGCAGGGAAGACGCTCAAAGGCATCCTTAGGGGTTGTGCAGAGCAGAATGCACTTGGCGTGGCTGCTGCGGGCGGTCACCGCTACTCTGCCGTCACCGATGTGTACTTGTACGCCTCCCTGTCGCCGATGTGCCTGCACAAGGGCAACGCCAACACATGCGGGCACGCAAACAACGCGGATGCTGTCGCCAGTAGTCCCGCGAGCTCTGCGGGACGCACTTCCGTGAGGGGGGCGGTGTTCCCCTGCCCCGAGTGCTGGTGCAACCTCACGGCGGTGGCGGCGATGCGGTGCGAGGACGGTGAAACGGAGCCGATGAAGTTGTTCGTGCACGCACACGGTGAGGCGGAGGCGGTGCGAAGTGTGGCGGTTGCCCGCGAGCGCCTCGCGCGCCCCGTGCAGCCCGCAATTGATGTCACGATTGTGCTTTCTGGCTAGCGGCAGAGGGACGAGTGGGTAGTTTGACACCTTGGCTCCATCCATGGGTGTATCCGTCCTTTTCGCTGCGTCCCCAGCAAAGTACTCTTTGTATCTTATCTTTTGGTCTTTCTTGAAGCCAGCAGGAGAGAGAGATCAAGGAAGTGGTGGTGAGCATAGCGAATATCGGGCGTCTGTGTTTCTGTGTGATCACTTCGGTCATGCACGCCACGGCAAGTTGGAACCACCTGTTACCTGAGCACCCCACTTCCGCTCCAGTGGCAACGAGGCCGAAGTTGCACTGCAACACGGCGAACAGAGAACACGTCGATGGTACGAGTGGTGCCGATATGACTCTAAGCGAATGGGAAGCGGAGGCAATCCGTCGATACAGAACACTAAGAGGCATTCAGACAAACGTGTCTTCACAGTGCGAGTACCTGTCGTCCAGCGCGACTCACGCTTCTCTCCTGCAGCTGATTTTGCACTCGAAGCTGCTTCCTATCCAAGATTGGCGTGAGTCTGCGTGGACAGTGGCTTCTTGGTTTCAGGGCCACGCATCAGCACCGCTGGGTTTGCTCTCCTACGCAGTTACCGATATTGTTTTATCCCATGAAATAGAGCCCTGCAGTGCCGCCAGATGGGTGTTGGATATAAGCAAGGCGCTGTTGAGCAAGTGTGGGACTCCGGCGTCATGTGCGACTGTGTCCTATGGTGATTGGGCTATCGCAGAAGAACTTGAGCGTTCCGCCTACACGTTGCAAACGAGGAATCCGTCGGTCTTTGCGAGCTTCTCCTCCGTGTTGCTTAACGCGTTGATGGACGAGGTAATTGCTAGCACGGATAAATCAGAGTTGTGGGGACTGCTGCCACTCTGTTTTCTTCTTAAACGCAACAAAGGCTTTGCATTATCGGTGTGGACGGGCGATGAGCAGCGGTATCGCACACGCGTACAGAGCGTCTGTGAACTGGGCCGTGTACTCCCCACGCACGTCGCAGCGGTCCTTAGTGCGGTGGTGTAAACAGAGAAGGGGCCGAGGGAGAAGTGATATCAGCTAACAGAACCGGGCAAATGTGTTTCGGACCTCCCTTGTCTGCCCCTCTCCCGTCTCCTTTCATCCCCGTCATTCTTCACATGCATACCCTGTGCTATGATGAATAGCACCCGAAACTGCATGATTCCTTGACTTATTTGCTGTAGTAACGAAGTGTTCACCGTGCGTGTGTCTGTTGTTCTTCTTTATCGCGCCCAGATCTGCCAAAGCAGTCACAAAGATTAGCAAAGTTTGGTATTGCGTGAAACGCAGGAGCCATTTTTATCTCGCCCGTAGCAAAACCTGGAAGCAGTACAGTGAAGTTCCCGCCCCCCTCTCATATATAACGTTTGAACCAGGCTCGCCACTACTACTGGAAACAGCAACGCCTCAGAAACACATGATGGCCAGAAGAATCACCGAACAGCGCGACAAAGTCGCAATTGTGCGTACGTTGCATGAAATCTGCAGGCGAGCCGAACTCGTCCTGATGGTCCGCTCCTTCCATAAACTGGAGAAGCACGCCAAGCAGCAGCAACAACACATGCATCTAAAACGATGTGCTGTCCTCTTAAAGCACCAAGCTATCAAGAGGACGGTAACCAGCTTTTTCCTCCGCTGGCTTAGCGACACACAACGCAAGGCAAGCATTCGATCAGGGCAGCGCGAGCCTCCCAAGATTGTGGTGCTTCCACGGAATCGAGATTTTATCAATTTGGGAATCAAATATTTTCTGCGGTGGCGCCTTTGGCTTCGACATTTACGACAACGCAAGCAGACAAACGTCGCCTTGCTCAAAGCCAAAACACAAGATGGAATCACCCATCACGCATTCTGCCAATGGCGCTGCTTTATCCTCCAACAGCAGACTCAAAGACTTGAGCAACAGGTGCACGAGCTCCGTGATGACAATAAACGTCTCGCTAGTCGTGTCTCTGAGATGGAGGTGCAGCTCATACAGGAGGAGGAGACCATAGACGGCCTCAGCCGCAATGCGGGACACCTTCAACAGTGCGCCGCTGTGCACCAATTGGAAATAGAGCAACTCCATGAAACGATAGAGGCAGCCATGAACAGTTTTGTAGAAACAAGTGCGAAAAAAGCTTTCACAACGACGCGAAGTATAGCGGAAGAAATGGCGCGGCGTGGCGACGACCTACCGTTGCGGCTGTTGTCAAGCTGTGAGGCCGCCTCGAAGGCGGTGGAGAAGCTGCGCAAGACGCTGCCCGACGACGCGGAGCAGCCGGAGGGTGCTTCAGGTTTTGAGGCCGTTACAGACGCGGTGTGCCGGCATGTGAAGGCGCTGCGCGACGAGCTTGCGAAGGGCGAACGGGAACTCAGTAGGCTGCGCGGCTCCGACGATCAGAGGGGGCGTCTGCTTGAGGAACTGCGTGCGCACGACGAGCGGTGGGTGCCTTCGGTGAGGCGCTCGGCGAGGACGGCGAAGAGCCACCACGCGAAGCAGATTGACGGTGGTGACTGGGGGACGGTGCTGCAGCGCCGACCCGCGGAGCTGCGGCGTGCGATTGTTGCCGACGCCGCGGATGCGTGTCACGTGGACCCTGAGTGCATCGTAGACGTCACCCTGGAGCCGGGTGGGGCTCTGGCGGTGGGATTCAGCGTGGAGCACGACCCCTCAGTGACCCCAGAGGAGCTGGCGAAGCGCATCGACGAGTACCCGTTCCGTGCAGCGAAGCGGGTCTACCAGCGTCGCGCGGCGCCCAAGGACGGACTGGACTTGCTGCAGGAGCAGCTCGCGGAGAAGGAGCGCGAAGTGGCGGCGCTGCATGCCTCCATGGAGGACGTGGCCACAGTGCTCGAGAACATGGGTGCTGTATCGAGCAGTGACGAGGCGCGATGCGCAGCAGAAGAGATGGCGCGGCGTGGCGACCGTCTGCCGATTCGGTTGCTGGCAGACTGCGATGGCACCGTGAAGGCGATCGAGAAGCTGCGCGGTACGCTTTCAGATGACCTGGATCATCTAGATAGCATTGGTGCGATTGTGGATTCAGTTTGCTTGAAAACGAAGGCGATGGAGAATGTTGTCGTTCAATTGAAAATGGAGTTACGCATTCAAAGTAGCATGACGGTGTTTTTGCGTGATTTTGTTGGGGAGGGTGCCGTGAGGATCATGCAGCTGGCGAACCACGAGTATATGTCAGATACCCAAAGCCTGGAATCCACGCGGGACGCCATACGTCACCCGGTGCCCCACGAAGTGAGTAAGACCAGTTGTACATTGCTGGAGAAGGTACTGGGGAAGAGTGATGCGGCAGATGTCGTGAGAGATCAGCTGGCTGAGGAGAAGAGAGCGGCGGTGGGTAGTCCCTCTACAGCAAGCGCCCTGGAGTCTTTTCAGGACGCGCTGAACCAAGTGCACGAGACTCTGATGGGATGCGAGGATCTTTTCGCCGAGCAGCGCGAGGTGGCTGAGCATGAGTCGAAGGAAAAAGATACTCTTGTTGCCGCTGCTTGGGACGCCGTCACGGTCCTACAAAACTGGACGTCTAGAGGTGCGCAGCGACCGCATGAAGACGCTGGCGAGCGTGTATTGACGGCGGATTTGAGGCAAGAGTGCAACGAGGCCGCAGATGCTCTCTCGCGGATGCGGCAAATACTCAGTAATGAGACGGCGGCGCTCCATAAATCACAGCAGAGCTCCATCTCTGAGCTGCACAGTGAAGGACTCATAACAGTGCAGATCCCAGATATCGTGACTTACAACGACCTCGTCAAGGCTGTGCAGAGTCTGCACGATCGGCATAAGGAGGTGGCCGCGGCGTACGAGAGCGTCTACGCGGAATTCCGTCGCTACGTCCCTGACTCTCCTGTCACGGCTAGCCCTAGCAAACACGTCAGTTTTGCCGCTCCCGCTGCGACGGCCAAGGCAGGGCATCGCTCCAGGCATGATCCCGTGGAAAGAGCGGAAATGGTTGTCCGTGCTGTGCGCAATCACATCCGCAGCAAGGGTCTGGAGGTGAAAGAACTGCGTGGGGTTATGCGGAAAGGCATTGAGGCCCTCGGTGGCTCCACCGACGACTTAGACACCGACGATGAATCGGTGGAGCAGGAGGTGAGTGCAGCAAAGAGCGCTGCGGTGGGTGAGAAGCTCTCATCGCTGTGCTGCGAAACTGGTGACGCGATCGAGAACGCCAAGACCGTTCTGGGTATGCCAAGTGATGGGAAGTTCAGACTCGCGGACATGATACCGAATCTCAAGGAGAAGATGCAAGAGTTGGAAACGGTCAAGACAGAGTCCGCGGCGCTCGTGCGAGAGGTGTGCGGTGCCTTCGGTGACGACTGCACCGACCGGGCGCCAAACTTTCTGCGGAGCTTGAAGCCGAAGCGAAAACCGGTGCCGCTGCGTGTGGAAGAGGCGGCGGAACATGCTGACGACTCCATGAGGCTCTCCTCTGTGCGTCTCAGCTCGCCAGTTGTAGCCTCGCGTTCTGTGAGCCCGGTGTCCCTGCGTCCAGATGAGCAGATCCGGCAATTGCGAAAGGAGATATATGATAAGAGTGACGAGGTGCGGGATCTTCGTGGCGCGTGTCGAACAATTGTAAGTCTTCTTGACGGCTCCTACGTGGAGGGCGAGGAGAGGCCGCAATACAGAGGTGATCTCGTGGCACTTCTTATTACTCAAGCGGAGGACTTGAAGCGGGCGAAGCAGAATGTAGCGGAGGTTGTTTCCAGCGATGTGAAGAAGGATACCAGCGTGGGCAATCAACTCTCCATACTCGCGTCACAGGTAGAGTCATTGCGCGTTGGTAACCAAACTTTGAAAGAAGAGCTCACGCAGCGCAGCAAACAAGGCTGCCACTTGCTGAACGACTTCACGGCGGAGTGCGAACACCTCAAGACTCTGAACAATGAACTGCAGGAGCAGGTGAAATCCATGGAAGAGGAACGCCAGGCGAACAAGGAACTACGACAGTTGCGCGCCAAGGGTGTGATGGAGTTGATGCGGTTGCAGACTGCAAAAAGGCATCTCCTTCGAAGGTTCATGATTTGGATGCAGAGTGTCGTAGCGTCGCGCAGAACAGAGATGCGAGGCGCCACTGAACAGCAGCGAAGGCTCTCCTTTGAGGTGGTACAGAAGCAGCACCAGCAGAACCTGCTCGCTAAGCTCTTGGCAACGACCCTGCAGGTTCTGCCAGGGCATCTTCACCGTGATGCCTGCACACTTGACGCAGAACTCATGTTGATTCAGCGCGCACAGAGTGAGGAGGGCGCGGCACTCGAGGCATTGGTGCAGAAGCGCGTAGACTCCGCGCAGGAGTGGGTGCGGTCGGCGGCAAAGCTTCTATCAATGGTAGCGGCACTCCGCACGGAGGCAGCAGCACTGCGCCACACAGTAGCCAACGCGTGGGACAGGCAGTTACGAGAGGTGTATCGCGGCACCTTGACAGACGCATTCGCGGGATTTTCTGCCGTCGACGAGGATAAGGAGATAGAACGAGCCATCCTTCACAGGCGCGCTCTGGACCGTGAGGAACTGGCGCGTGCTAACAAGGAGCTGACGGACGACATCATCGATCTGAAGGAACATCTTGCCGGTGCGCATGACTTTATTGCCGCGCAGGATGAAAAAATCATCAGACTTCAGCGGGAGAACAGGGACCTGCAGTTGAACAGTGTCCTCCATGGTGGTGGCGATGGCACCAGTGGCGACAACAAAAGTAGTAGTGCGGTGGCTGGGCCTGCCAGTGACGCGCGCCGCACGTTTGAGACGGAACGCGCCATTGTCGCAGCAGCAAAGCGGCTGGCGGTGGAGGCTATCAACGCCATGGCGGG